TTGACACAATTGCTCCTAAATGCCCTTTCCATTCAAGGGCTCATTCTTCATCCTGGTTTACAGATGAGTTACAAGCCATGAAACTGAGAAGAAGGCTAGAGAGTAACTAGAGGAAAGCTCCCTCGGATGGGAATCTAGCTGCAGTAAGAAAATTGTCCAGCAAGTATTGTAATATCATATGATTGTCTAAGAGAGCCTATTATACCTCACTCATTAATGAGGCATCTCATCAGCAAAATGCTTTCAAGTGGTCTGGGACCTCACAAATGCTGGACAGTCCAATGGTCCTCAACCTGATATTGCCACTCCTAATTGACTTGCAGCTCACTTTCAGAGGAAAGATTGAGGCCATTCCTAGGCACCTCGACTCTCTTAGGGACGTAGTTTATTGTACTGAGATGTCCAACATCCTGTCTTGTCTGGTTTTGTTGGCCTTTGATACTGTCAACTATAGACAGACCATTGGGTTTGAGGATTGGAGACTCAGTGTTACACTGGCTCCAGTTCTTTCTTGACGGCTGTGACCACAGTGCGCAGGTTGTGGATGTTGCCTCATCTTTGTGGGTTCTGCATTGTGGAGACTCACAGAGGTCAATCATCTCCCCAATGCTATTTAATATCTATTTGATGCCATTCAGGATGGTCATCCAATGATTTGGAGCTTGTTGTCATCAATATGCTGATGACACACAGCTCTACATATCTCTCCTTCTCATCATCATCGGTGGAGGCTGTGCAGACCCTGGAGTGATGACTGACATTCCGGATTAGGGCTAACAAACTGAAACTAAATCCAGACAAGACAGGGATCATGTTGTTGGGAAGGGAGCCTGCCCAATTAAAAGGTACTGTACCTTGCCTGGCCTTGAAGGGGTCACGCTCCCCTTAAAGGACCAAGTCCACAACTTGGGGATGTTGCTGGATACAGCTCTCACCAAGGCGGAATAAAGATCTGCCATGGTCACGTCTGCCTTTCTTCATCTTTGGCAAATTGCACAATTGCTGCCCTTCCTAATCACACTGGTCCATGTGTTGGTAATCTCTAGGATCTATTACTGCAATGTAATAGAAGAGTCTAGTGGCACAGAGCCTCGTGAAGAGCCTCATGGCGCAGTGGTCAAACCGCTGTACTGGAGCTAAAACTGTGCTCACGACCTGGGGTTCAAATCCCAGGTAGCCGGCTCAAGGTTGACTCAGCCCTCTATCCTTCCGAGGTCTGTAAAATAAGTACCCAGCTTGCTGGGGGGGGGGATGTGTAGCCTGCATAATTAACTTGTAAGCCGCCCAGAAGAGTGGTTGAAGCACTATGGGGTGGTATATAAGCAGCAAACTTTGCTTTTTTGCTTTGCAATGCTGTCTACATGGGGCTGCCTATTCATACAGAAACTTCAACAGGTACAAAATGCGGCAGCCAGTATAGTATCAGGGGGTGTGGGGAGGAGAGAAACATGATGATATCTCCCCAATTCTGGCTCGCCTGCATTGGTTGCCTATTTGCTTGCATGCCAAATTCAAAGTGCTAGTGTTATCTTATAAAGCCCTTTATGGTTTGAGGCCTCATTATCAGTTTGAGCATTTCTCCTTAAGATTGTCTACCTGATCTATACAGGCTTTGTGTTTGCAGGTGGTCACCCCTATAGAGATGCCCAGAAAACCACCACCAGGAACTGAACCTTCTCAGTGGTGGCCACAATGAAATGCATTGCCTGTCAATGTTTGCCAGCGTCCGTCGCTTTCGACCTTCAGGGAATGGGTGGAAGCTGAGCATTTCAAAGAGGCTTTTGGTACCATCTCCCTCTCTTTAATATCTTTATAGATCCACCTGTTTTTAAATAAGTTTTATTTGCTGTTGCCTCTGGAGTCTTTTCGTCGGTACTTTAATTGGGTGTATATGCTGGTGGGTTGGTTATTATGTCTTTTTATTGCTGTTTGCTGCCCAGAATGCAATGAATAAATTGAATAAATTAAATAAACTAGCAGCAACCTGACACAGCCAGTAACATCACTCCCCTTACACATGTGGAGCTATGCACCAGGATTCCGATCCATGTTTTTAAAATGAGCAACGAGAGAGACCCTCTTGGGTCTCAGAGGTGTTTCATTGTAGACAGAATGAAGTGCATTCAGCCGTTGTATCACACAATAAGAAAACAATACTCACTCTTTCGCCAACAGCTTTAAATTCTCCATTGAGCCTCACTATGCGAAACTTAGCTGAAAAGGCAAAAGAGGAATGTATTACTGATCCTTTTTAAAAAGAGACGGCCTCTTTCGCCAGAGAGGCAGAGGCAAGAAGGACCATCCCACAGTTTTATTCCATCATCATTCCCCATTTCATCCTGCTATATTTTGAAAGGTCAGTAAACACAACAGCTTCCCCCAGTCTTGTTTTACTTCTATGTGTTTTTGAAAGAGTTTTATTCCATCATCATTCCCCATTTCATCCTGCTATATTTTGAAAGGTCAGTAAACACAACAGCTTCCCCCAGTCTTGTTTTACTTCTATGTGTTTTTGAAAGAAATGTTGTTCAGGTCAACTTACTGGTTTATGTGCCATCCAGTGGCATCTGATATGGTAACCCTTAACAGGGTTTTCAAGGTATGTAAGATGTTTAAGGGATGGTTTTACCATTGCCACCTCCCAGTGTATTGCCATGGCTGAGCAGGAACTGAACCCAGGTCTCCTGAGTTCTAATTCAACAGTATCTACTACTCAGTCCTGGCAGTTCTCCTTTATGTCCAGAGAGATCTGGAAATTTCAACCCCAATTCAGCATTGCACGTCTTACCGTTCTTTCTCCCATTGCCCTTATCTTATTTTACATCATCAGAACAGGTACCGTTCTCTTTTGGGTTCCGCTACACACAGGCTTACCTGTTTCTCCAGGTTTATAAAAGGGCTTGCTTGGTTTTATAAAAACCTTTGGATGTGCATATCTCATCAGCACCTTCTTCCGGCCCTCAAAGCTCACACTGTCACCCTTTTGAATGAAGACGTGAACGTGGGCAATTTCTTCCTTCACAGGGCGAAAGAAACAAGTGGTTTCAACAGCAGAAGTGACAGCTTTACCACAAGTGGAAGAGAAGTTTAGGAACTCTCCTCAAACAAGACCTCTTTTCTACAAACCATTACACAACTTGGTTGGTGTAGGCCAAAGAGGGTCACTTTAGGTTGGGTGGCAATCCTGGATGCCATGTGGTGCAAGCTTTGCATCCATATGGCATAGTGACCATATGTGGCCCACTGTACCTTTTAGAGAGGGCAGGCGGGGAGGGTTCTTCCTGGAAGAGGAAGGAGACAGTAAGAGACAAAATGGGTTCTTTTGTCTTTACATTATAGCCTGAGAAGCCAATTTGCTTTGCTAGGGACAGACACTCTAAAGAAAAGATAAAATACCTCACCTTGCTTCTGCCTGTCTCCTCCCACTTCCAAGAGCAAGCTTTCATTTAAAAAAAGGAACAGCACACCAGCACTGCCCTAATTGGCTTTAAAAAATTTTGTTTTCCTTCTTCCCTTAGCTACAAGTGGCTGAACTGTTTAAACCACTCATTACACAAGAAAATTGAAACCAGCAGACAAATTGAAGGAGGAATCTTCAGTTTTCAGTTTGCTTTTTTGCTTCGGTTCATTTCCAGTGATCACATGCACTGGAAATGAACCAATAATAGAGCGATCCTACCTACACCACCTGCTAGGGATGCTGTGGCACTGCGGGTTAAACCGAAGAAGCCTCTGTGCTGCAATGTCGGAAGACCAGCAGTCGTAAGAATGAATCCACATAACGGAGTGAGCTCCCGTAGCTTGTCCCAGCTCCTGCCAACCTAACAGTTTGAAAGCATGTAAAAATGTGAGTACATAAATAGGGACCACCTCGGTGGGAAGGTAATGGCATTCCGTGTCTAGTCATGCTGGCCACGTGACCACAGAGACTGTCTATGGACAAATGCTGGCTCTGTGGCTTGGAAACGGGGATGAGCACCGTGCCCTAGAATGAGACACAACTGGACTAAATGTCAAGGGGGACCTTTACTTTTACCTTTACCTACCTGCAGCAAAAAGTAGAAACCCTTGACAGGAGCTAAAAAGGTGAAGGTAGAAACACTTTGGAGGCAGGCTGATTTGCTCCAACAGATATGGTGTCTGATTGCCAGCGTTAGGAGCAAACCAGCCCATCCCTCATATACACATGTACACTGATACTACATTCACCTCAACAGCACAAAAACATTGTCATTTTTCTCTGTTCCCAGATTTGTGTTGGATTTCCTCTTCATTTCCTGGTTCTCTGTTTCATTTTCCCCCTTCCCTTCATCCCTTCTTCCTCCTATGCCATTTCAAAATCCCTCCCTTTTGCTTTCCTATCTAGAATTTTCATCATTGCAGTGCCCAGGATATTAGAAGAAAAGGAATGGTTGGAAGATAGAAGACTTACATTCTCACTCAAAATATTTTCGCTGGGAGCAAAGTCAGGGACCTGCGGAGAAATAGAGAGAAGTAAGAAGGAAAGTGAGAAGAAAAGATTTATCAGCATAAAGTTTCTTAAATGTACTTGTAATCTTATGACTCGATTCTAGTACAGTTTAATACTACAAGAAGGGGTTCATCCACATTGTAATGTTGTTGTCCTTGGTCATTTGAGGGTTGTGCTGACTCGTTATGATTTTTTTTTATTTAAGATCTTAACAGATCATCCTGACATTGGTATCCAGACAGGGGAAGGGTATTTATTGCTGAGTACTCTGATTCCCTGATTCTCCCTGGTACCAAGTGCAGTGGAA